ACATTTTATATCTATACTATATAAAAGTTGAGGCTATAAGCTCCTAAAGGCGTCCACGTATGATTTAAATCAACCTATAGTAACATGCCATGTCAACATGTAGAATTAAGTTAATTTTAATTCTGTTGTTATTAGGAAACTAAGACATAATTTCCTTATTTCATAAATTCATAACTTTAAGTAGTTTCTATTTTTGTGAATTTAACTTRCTATTTCAATTTTAGATACTACATACTAGGAAATTTTCTTAATTTTAAGGTCTTAATTATAAATAAAGTGAAATATAGTGGTATATAGACATAGGATTCAAAACATTCAATAGTTATATGCCACATTAYCATTTTTATTTATTTTGTTAATACGAAATCCARAAACAATTTTCTTATTTCATAAACTRATAACTTTAAYAAAATTTCATTTTAGTGGGTTTTTGTAATATCGATTTTCGTCTTTTAAGTTTCTTTGCAATTGTAAATTGTTGATATGTCAAAAGATAAAAGTAGGTAGATGAGCAAAGATATGAAATTATAAATGTGGTAGTTTCGTCTTCGCAATAGGTCAAATAAATAGTTTTGTATTAGTAATCTCAGTAAATTTGTTAATATTCCAGTATATAAGTTTGCTCACATGTATAAAATTTTTTGGGGAAATTTCAAAAAAAAATATCACTTTTTATGTGCACATTTGCAAAAATGTCACTTAGGGGTGTTTATTTGCAAAAATGCCACTAATTATAGATTTTTAAACTCTAAATCTTAAATTCTAAACACTAAAAAATGTTTTGACCCCTAAACCCTCCTAAACCCTCATAATTAAATCCTAATAGAACATAATTAACCCAAACATAAATAATATAAAGAAAACATAATTTTGAAAAATGATATTTTTGTAAAGATTTCAAAAGTGTGGCATTTTTGTAAAGTGGTATTTTTTGAAATTTCTCAAGTTTTTYTTTTGTTGTCTAAAACATTATATAATAAAAAGAGAACTGAACATTTTTATTGCTGGAATAAATAAAATATTTAYTCATTAGTAATATCATTAAATTTGTTATTTTACAATTTTATTGAAAAAAATTATCACTAATTCATGGAAAATATATGAAATTAAAAATTTGAGGATTTTGATATAAAAATTATTAAAATTCAGATTAGAGAATCTAGAAAATATTTTTGGCATGAAAAAACTAAAATACAATGAAATTAATTTGGCATATTGAGAAGATATTAAAGTTTGATCAAGTAGATAAAAAAGGCTTTTTTAATGAAAACAAAAATCTTGTACTTTGTTTTTTCCATTCTACTGGTTTTTATTATTATTATATATATCTCAAAATCATCTATATTATATAAAAGTTGAGGCTATAAGTTCCTAAAGGCGTCAACGTAGGATTTAAATCAACCAATAGTGACATTTCATTTACGCATTTAAAATTTATGTTAATTTTGTTTTTGTTGTTAATTAATAAGGATTTTGTAAAAAAATTCCAGATTTAAATCAACCAATAGTAATGTGCTATGTAAGCATTTATAATTATGTAATTTGAAAAAAGGAAAATTATTGTTGTTACCAAAACAAAAAGAGGAAAATGTCACAATGTGACCCCAACAAAAAAAAATGTCATAAT